GTCTGTAACGGTTACTCATACCTCCTTGAAAGAGTTCAGAGGGCAGATACTAGTATGATCCCCTCGACGGCTGGCCTCACCTATGAAGACCGACGTAAGGAGCTGAACCTCTTCATTTCATCCTACCGCAGACAGAGGGGGGACCTAATCGTGCTGTACGGGATTCTAAGAAATGACTTTGGACCTGATCTATCTTCTCTTTTCCTTCCCACTAGGTTGGAACGCCCCAGAGGACATGACAGGAGGCTACGAAAACAAAGAAAGAACATGGTCTCCGCGACGTACTGGTTCTCATATCAAGTAATCAACGCCTGAAACCGACTCCTAGGAGAAGTGGTATTCGCATCACCAATTGACTCGTTCAAAAGGTTATTGGACAAGTACATAAATCTACTGGAAAAGGGTTAATATGGGCTCAAGGCTTCTTATCTTTAAATAACAAGTCTGAATGCGAACCAAACCTAAGCAATCCTGGGTCCATTGTTGTTCCTACTGTTCGTGAATGACCTCCCACTGCATATCAGCTCTTCAATTCCCCTGTATGCTGCTGATATCAAGTTATGGAGGGCGGTAATCTGTGAAACGGAACCCAGTGCATTATAGAACTACCTCAAAACCCTAGAGGAATGGGGAGCAATAACGAGCCGGTATTTAACCTTGATAAATGCCGGTCCAAGTTTTTCCGCACTCCTGCTCCCCAGAAAGTATCCTAACCCCTCTGTGGTTCACGTCTATCCTATATTGCAGCAGAAAAAGGCCTGAGTTTGACGGTGACGGAGAAGCTGGACACCATTTCCGAATTCCCAGGTAACGCCTCAAAAGCACACGGCATACTACTATTTTTCACAGATAATTGAATGCCCTCACCCCAGAGCTCTTTGTGAAGCTCCACAAGACTTACATACCACCCCACTTGGAGGTCCATAACGTCTTCGCTCCACCCCAATTCTGAAGAGACTCCAACCTACCGGAGAAAGTTCAGAGGCGAGCCACAAAAGTGGTTGTTGAGATGCAACGAAAACCATACGCGGATAGACTGAAAGATCCAGGCCTGTACCCTCTTAGCTACCGAAGGTTACGAGGTGACTTGATTATAGCTTACAAAATACTGAACAACCCAAGTGGCCGCCATGGTGATCCCCGCGGAAGCCCTAGGAGAATTGCCCACCAAGGGTCAAAAACTCATGTGCGTTCACACTTCTCCCTCCGAGTTTGTGGGCAAAGAATGCGTTATCAGCAAAGGTAGTCTCCGCCCCATCTGTCCAAAGCTTCAAGAAGAGGTTAAACGGTCATGCAGGGACCTACGGCCTACCCACGTATAACTGGAACATGGACTAAACAGAAGAAATCAACTGATGTCACATCATTTCAACTGTTTTGCCCCTACAACAAGTTTTCTTTCCATTCTAACCATTTAAGCACTTTTAATCCATCCCACCTGCCATGAGTTAGCCTCACTTACCTAAGTTCTCCATACCTTTGCACCCCTCCTCGTCTTACTTGGGTGTAGGTAGATTACTCCATTAGTTCGCTATCCCTAACCCTCTCTGGCGACCAGTACAAACAACGTGTTTGGCAACTGGACATCTGGAGAAGCCAACTGCACCACAGTTCAAGGCAAACAAATCAACACTCAACTTCCTGGTCCGTAAGTCAGAGCTAAGGCAGACGAGTGGCTAGATCTTCAAACTTCGTGTTGTAGAATCAGTGCATGGCGGTTCCTTGGGTTCTGCGTCCGTCTTATTGGAATACTTTCTGGGTTTGGAATGGTCAAGGTTATCTTGCCGGTTCTGAAAAACATGAAAGGATAGAGATGCGGTTGTTAGTCAACCTGGCCTCAAGGTAGTATTACCGCATCTGATCTGCGGAAAGCTTCTCTGGTATAGCCCACCGTAGGACTCAAGGTGTGCCTCCAATCTCCTTTTAAAAGTATCGGGAAATGGGGCTGCACCAACTGCTGAAGGGGGGAGTTCCACAGTTTACAGACTATAACCGCAAATGAGTTAGCATGGATCTTTGTACGTGCTCTCTCATGCCCTATTCTTAACGGGCCACCCTCGGGTCGCGTTTCCGGTTAAAGCTTAGAGGGGATCTGTTGGGATGGAGGGGATTGTGGGCGATGTGGTACATCATGATCATATCCCCTCTGATCCTCCGGTGTCGTACTGGGTGCAGCTGAAGAGCAACTAGGCGGTCTGGGTACGGTTTGTGCCGTAACCCAATCACTTTCTTTGTAGCTCTTCTCTGTGTCCGTTATAGGATGGCTATGCCTACAGTGTATGCTGTGTACAGCATACAATGTAGGGAAAGGAGAAGGAGTTAAACGCCCTAACGTTCGCGATACAAACCCGGAATTCCATAAGCCCTATTGGCTGCAAGGCGACAGTGAACTGAAGCTCCTAGTGTATCGTTTAGTGTAACTCCCAGATCTTGTTCCATGTTAGTGCGACAGATATTTGTTTCACCCAGAGAGTAAGAACTGGGACTGCCTTTATGTTTGTCAACTATCATAATTAGACACTTCTTCGAGCTCGGAAGAAAAGCAGGTTTTCTGTGGTCCAACTAAGGATTTTCGCAAGATCCTCTTGGAAGACCGAAATATCCGTTTGCTCCTGTATTTCCCTCCAAATCTTCAGATCATTGGCATATAATAGTGAACGTGAATTAAGGATCCCTGGTAGGTCATTGATAAAGGCAATAAACAGTAGTTGGCCCGGTATAGAACCCTGAGGCATACCACTCAGCATAGGTAACCAATTAGATAGAGAGTAGCCAACCCAAAATGACCTCACCCCGGTGTACAGATAACCTCTAAGCCAAATTAATAATTTTCCGTGAACACCCATGAGCTGGAGTTTCTTACAAGGGATATCATGATTTACTGCGTCAAATGCCTTAGAAAAGTCTAGTAAACCAGTGTGCATGGGCTTTTTCTGCCTGATAGAGAGTGTCCAGCTATTCCAAGCTATCAACAAGTTGGTGTTACATGACCTTCCTGGTGGAAAGCCATGCTGGCAGTCGTTTAGGATTGATTTCTGAAGCAAGTGATCACGAAGCGGGTCGTTTATGATTCTCTCCATGACCCTCACAACTGAAGAGATAAAGGAGATCGGTCTGTAGTTGGAGGAGAGTAGTTTGTTTCCAACTTTATAAATCGGGACGACAGCCACCCGTTTCCAATCAGAGGGTAACCTGCCTTCCAGAAGCCAGCATTTGAAGAGGTTTGCTGGTGGGGCGGACAGAACTTCAGCACACTCTTCAAGTACTCTTGGGTGAACCCCATCAGTTTATGGAGAATTACTCTGGTTCACATTCTTTATTATTTCCATGATCGTGGAGGGTTCAAACTTTATGTGGTCTAGTCCCTCTGTAATACGGGTGTCCGACAAATGCGTGGTTTTACCTCCTAAATGACAGCTGTTTTGGAATTCATGAGTTGGTAGGTCTGCCACTTCGGATTTAGAATGGAAAATCCCTAAGCTAATGGGGTCCTGTAAACTGAGTGAACTGTTACCCTTCTGTTTCATCAGCGGGTAAAGTATCCCATGATTCCCCTCTAGGGTTCTACATAGTTGTGTCTGGTGGTTTATTCTGTCATTTCTGATTCTTATTGTACATCTGTAACGGATGTCTATAATTTAACCAGCCAATGGGGCTATTAGCTCACTTCCATAGTTTCCAAGGTGACCGCTTACACTGTATCAGTTTGCACGTGCTTGGCTTAAGCCAGGGGGAGTAGAATTTGTTGGTTCTCTCCGCAATCGGAGGAGTGCTTTCTTTTATCGTCTGGAGGATTATGTTTTTCAACAGATCGCATCTGGCATCAAGACCCAGTAGGTCATCGCAGTTTAAGCAAGCGGAACCTTGTAGATCTCACAGAACCTTCTCGAAATCAGTCCCCTCGTAATTCCTAACCAGAGGCTGATCGGGAACGGGTGGCTTAGACACAGAAATATCGAAGGAAATAACTACATGGTTACTGAGGCCAAGAGGGCTGAAAACATTCAAGTCGATTGTCCCGGTGAAATGATCTGTGAAAATACAATCTAGTCGGGATGCCTTACCGTAGAAAAGCCCCAGAGAGTACACTGGGAGGCATGCGCCGTCAAGGAGTTTTCCAATAGCGATTCCCAGAAGTCTTTTAGGGCAGTAGATAAGCTTACTGTGGTAAACAGTTGAGGAAAGTTAAAATCTCCTACAGTGAGGACCTGTGGGGAGTCACTTCCAGGGCTCCTCTAATGGATTGTATTTACATTTTATTTAACGTGGCATCCGCTGCAGGAGGTCGGTATAAGACTCCAACTAAACACTGACCTCCACAGCACTTAATGCTACACCAGAAGACATCGTTAGTGCCAATTCTATGGGATTGAGTCTCATGGAATTTCAGGGAGCAGCAGGTGTTAAGAGCAACGCCACCTCCTAGGCCCTCCGGTCTATCCCTTCGGATTAGGCTTAGCTGTCCTAAACGAACTTCCTTGTCTTTTATGTTTTCCGTGAGCCATGTTTCGCAGAAAGCCATTATGCTAGGGCTATCCTCATCAACTAACAACCTTAACTTAGGTACCTTGGAGCACAGGCAGCTTACATTACTATAGGTACAGCGAATAAGAGTATGAGGGCCGGAGGTTTCAGAAACGGTTGAGTTAAGGATGCGTTGCCAGCCTTTAAATGGTCGGCTTTGATAAGTTTTTTGACAAGGCAGTGGAACCAAGGGCTAATAGACCCACTGGTCTCTTTGAACGAGAACTAGTGCAGGGTTCTATGATCTGGGACAAGGTCGATAAAAACTTTTGCTCATCGTTCTTCCGTTCCATCGTTAGATGTGGGTTGGCCAAGGATAAGCACTTGAATCTGCAGCATCGGAATCCACCAAAGACCTGGAACATTTCCGCAAGACCAAGAAGCGAACAAGAAGAAGTTGACTGATGTATGCAAGCTCGTGAAACAGATATTGAATATTGGATGTTGTTGGAAGTTCGAAGGTTGACCTTGACGAGGCAAGTGTGACATATTCAAAATCTTATTCGCACGTTTTGGATTTCTAGAGTGCCTCAGCTCTTTTTTGTCACGCTCTACGGTTTGTCAGTTACATTTTACTATTAAATGTAATTACACCCTGTGTACTTTCTGAGTCATTGGCCCACCTTTTTTCTCCTCTTTCCCCTTCCAGATTCTGGTGGTCACCAAACACTGCTGTACGCGCCCCTTACAACAAAGTGCCTACCTACAGGCTAGACGAGAACGTATCAACAGCTGGTGGTTACACAAGTTAGCAGCTTTGATGACTAGAGGCGAAAACTACTGCTCTGCAGCAAGATATGTTTGTGGTGTTTTGAGAGGCATGGTAAATAAATGGTTTGTTATTCTGTACACAGTCTGCGGATAATCGTTCAGTATATATTAATGTTGAATTTGTGGATAAACTCTCCGAAATGATGTACTATGGAGCTGAGTATATTCAAGTAAGATATTTAATGAAGGCTAGTGTAAGGTTGTTTGTGATTTTGATCACACGTTGTCTAAGTATACTCACAATGCTGCAAAGGTTCCTGTTTGTCATGGTAACTTGTACCTTATTACAACCATTCATGACTGATGTATTGGAGGTTTGTTTATGAATCACCACAGAATACCTGAAATGTCGAGAATGCGAGTGGGTTCGTATTTCATTTCTAACTTTTGGTCAGCTCATGGAACTGTATGAATCGTATATGTCAATCAGGAATTATGGTAACGCAAATGAATCCGAAAATATTTCACTTACGATGGAGTTTTGGAAGTTAGCTCACAAGGCATTAGTTGATGGTAATATAACCCGAAATGATGTTGAATGCTGTGCTCTAGAAGGCGGGATTGTTATAAGGTGAGTGGTATTGGCATGTTTTGTAAAATGTAGCAGGATATGCTGTCCATTCGGTTGTATGGGTCAATTTCTTAGTAAATCTCTTGCACATTTATTTCAAACTTAGTATTCTAAGATTAGCAGGCTAACTATTCCATCGGCTGTTGAATATATCAGTTTGCCACAGAATTTCGTGTAATGAGGTGCTTCTTTCTATACGTTCGGACGTGCATTTGCTTTTCATACAAAGTGGGAGCACCGGAAGTTACTCTGAGACAAACGATGACTTTCTCTCACTTATTACCTTGAAAAGCGTACTTTTTGTGGAGGTGGGGTTATGAAAACTTTACGTTCAGCCACTGGTTGCCGGATTTAAGCCCAACTTTACCTGTCTTGGTCTGGAAAACTTGTTTTCGCCATAAGCCGTTGTACGGGAAGTGTCATTTAAAGCTCATTATATAAAATCAGTATTAGGTAACTCAGTTGCATACTTCCAGTAAGGGTTAAATTGTTCAATCAGCAATATAAAGTACAAGGCAGATTTTAAGGATGTTTTTCCTGTGTGTTTTAGTACTTATCAAGTTTATAAGACCTACAACTATCGGCATGAGTTTGGGAGAAAATATTTCGCGACTTAGACTAGTGTTAAGGGCATGACATCTGCCAACTGAGAGGAATCCTTTTCAACTTCCACAGAAATTTAATTGACTTTCTTACTTAGTGTTTAAAGTTATCATTGATAAGTTACAGCAGGTATTGAAGTGTAAACCCACAGAAATCTTCAGGTGATAAATAGCGTAAGATAATGTGAGATAGACAGACAAAACCAGCGTAGAACCTCGCACTGAAGTGCACCAGTTCAAATTAGACAAAGCTATATTGGAGGGGAAAGAATTTGAAACGTAGGTTGGCGGAAACTATCTTTCAAAGACATTAAATAGTGAATACATAAGCAACATTGTGACCGATTCTCACTCATCGCCCAAAGTCTTCAACCACTGATTTCTATTGTTTTGGGGACCCTAGGCATACAGTCTGGAACTGAATGCACGCCACAGATAAAGTGTTAGCAGCTCCATGAACTGATGCTGAATCTTAGTCTGGACACCTTGAATCCTCTTTCGACTTAATCCTATGTCTCAGCATTGTGCGTCGAGGTATGCAGTGGCTCAGGATTCGAAGCATATGTATAAGCCAGGTCAGTTGTTTAGGGTTCACAACCTCATCGACTGACATGCGTCCCGCCTATTACCCCTCCTCTAACTTCTAAACTGATAAATTGGTGATTCCACGAAAAATAAGCAATGCTACAGAGACACAAGTGACCAAAACTTGTAACCGCTTCATATCCATTTTTAACGACCATGTTTTACAGAACGGACTGTAGCGTATTATCCACGTCTTTTAACAGTTAGTTGGATATCATCATAGATGGAACAGGTTGGCGAATGCCGAATGGGCCTTCTTCATTCGAGCTGAGATTTCGTCAGCATCCAACCCACTTCGGCAAATGCAACTTTCCGAGTGAAGTAGTCTATCTTTTCGTTCCCTATTCACAAACTGGGAGTAATGCAAACCAGTTTCGGAGTGTTATCTTAAATTGACAAGTGCAAAACACATGCCAAGCACACTCTGGTTTCTGTCCAAAATGTTCAGAATACCCTGCATTTTGTCAGCATCATCTAGCAGGATGATGTCAGTTTCTCACTTCAAGTCAACCAGATGCGGTCCAGGGAGTAAGTCACTCCCTGTGCATTCGTACATACCTAAGGTTATGTCCATTAGTGCATGTATAAAGAAATTGAACGGGGTCAGCAACAGTGGGCATCCATTTCGAACACAACTAGTTGTCGTTAGTTCAGATGATAACTCTCCATAAACTCTTACACAGCTGCGTGAGTTCGAGTAGAGGGCTTCGATTAGCGTTGCAGACTTCCATGGTAGTCCTTTAACAGTCACTGCTACAGCACCACATGGTCAGCAGGGTAGAAGATTAAGAAATGTGGCAAGTGTCGGCCGCTGGTAAGTATGGTTGTGTTTTGTAGCCTAATGGTGAAAATTTGATCGATGCATCCTCGTCTAGGTTTGAAACTTGTCTGGTTTCCTCGTTTTTGTTGTCCTCGATCTCCAGTTAGGCGTCGCATAACTGTGGAAGAAAGGATCTTGGACACGATGTTAATTAAATTGATTACCCACGAAACGACCTCCATTTACTCATACACTGAATTGACCAGTGGAGTAGACCAGTCAGATAGAACTGTCTTTGATAACCATACGCTCGCAGACTAGTATTTTTGTTACGCAAACCAGTAATTTCCAACCGACATCCTTAAAGTCTTCTGGTGGCAAACTGTTAGTTCTTGCTGCTTTACTCCTTTTTCAGTTTTGAAACAGCCTTCTGAACTTCAAGGAGTGCTGGAGGACCAATATCTACGTCCCGTTCGGGTTCGGCCTGGATGCTGGGCAACTGAATCATTGGTAAGAGCCAGTCGAACTGTACTTCAGTGTTCCGCCCAACAATCTAGCCACCCGTACTGAGCAGTTATCAGGGTTCCATTCTTTTCGACAGTGGTTTCAGCCACTCATACCTTCTTCATGCCAGTCTCCTTGGTACACCTAGAAAGTATTACTTAATGCTAATAGCTTATACCTCTCTCGCTGTCGCCACCCAATACTGCTCATGATCATTACAGAAACTCTTAGTGAATTTACGTTTAAGTTGCTCTAGCTGTTCATTGTGATCAAAGGTAACTGGAATAAGTCTTCTCGCATCAGTCAATCCGGATGAGGTTGCAGAAATTCATTGACTTTCGCTAATCTTCACGTGTAGGTTGCTGTCTTCACTACTCTTTCTACAGCAGAGCTGGTATCACTTCAGGTTACCTTAGGATGAGAAATGCTGCCACGTTCAGATAAATGTTTGGCTGTTTTCCCCCCTAAACACCTACTTGATGTTTTCATCTTCTAATTCAGTACGCAGGGCTAGCAGCTGCATGTTTTCTTCGATGGCTAAGGTGCAGGAAGACATACATATACCCGTACTAATGCGTGATGGGAATCCCAAAAGGTACTCCAGAAAGAGTGACAACCCACTACCGATCCTCTCTAACGGTCCTTTATAGCAATATTATCTATTTGTGCCCATCATTATTTTGATGTCGGCGAATGCCATGGGAAAGTCTCTCCTCATACTTAAAACTAATGCTGGCCAGAAACCAGTGATTGTCAGGACAAAATTGCAACAGATAATCACTGTTGTCATTGAATTGTGTAGATAGTTCCAAGATGCCTTTCTGGTTGGCTATTCTTTGTGACTTAAGCTTTAAAGTCGAGTGCTGTTATGAATATATTTCAATGTTTTGGTTTCTGTAACAAATTGATATTTCTTGATCCTTTTGCATCATCCGAACTACAGTCGGTGGTTGCGTGGGTGGAGATTAAGAGTAAACACCGATTGATCCCACGATCCTTCCTGGTTCTTAAAGATTCTTCCGGTTGAGCAGCACATAAACTGCTGTTGACGGGTATCCAGTCGAGCTCACTTTCTGCTCTACAGCTGAATGCTACACCTACACCAGTGAGTTCACCAGAGCTAGTCACTGAGTCTCTTGATACTCGTGAGGTGAATTGTGAAGACAGCAGTGGTCAGGTGAAGTCAATTTAATAACCACACTCGAGTCCTGTATACGTGTCTCAGAGACAACATACACCCACGGTTAGCGAGTGATGCTTGCAGCCCCACTTGGCATAGAGTTTCGAAGTTGAAAGCCCCAATTTAAAATCGGTGGAGAGATCTTAGGAGGCTAAGAATCTGGCCTCGATAGCTTAAGTTGGTTGTAATGATTGCAGCGTGGAAGTTTTGAGGAAGTTGTAAGATGCTTACCATTGGTATCAGCAGATGAGAGCGAAGGAGGAGAAAGAAGTAAGGAGAATACGCTAATTTAGATTGGATCTTATATACTACTGGAGGCGTTTGGGTAGTTGACACTTCTCGGTTTCCCACATCGTGGAAATCGTTTCTTCAGGGTACCTGAAAAAGCAAAAGATTTGTGTTGTCGTGTAAAGTTCATTGGGAATCTGCCTGGACCCTACCACATATCGCCGTTAGAGGATTTTTTGTTTGTGAGTTGGTTGTTTTAACACCGGACTAAAAAAACATACCACCGACGCCATCAGATCACAGAACAGGGAATAATGTGCTATTTTTGAAGCCAAGTTCTTCCAGTCTTTCCTTCTCGTCGGGAAGGCGGTGGTACCACAAGAAACACCTTACTGCTATCACACCCCATCTAGCCAGCACTACGAATTCGCCCTCAGATCCCCATCATAGTCTAGCCATTTACATTATAACGGTAACTGCTTTTCATCTTACAACTATCCTAATGACCTTACTGGCATGTTAATACTTCGAGGATCTGGCGTTCCATCCAGTATAGCTCACTGGACCATTGTGATATGCAAGCCAGGGCAAAGTAGCAGGTGTCTCTAGGGGACCTTGATTTTAGTATCCCACAATAATATGAGATGCCTAACTTGTTTTAATTTGATTCAGTGTGTTCCTAAATGACATAGTCAAGACTTTTATTCATTAAAAAACCGAAATAACTGAAATCGACTGAAGATTTTTTACAGAGGCTGGTTGGTTTCACTGAGGTGTATTTAATCTAGCCTTTTTTGTTCATTTAAGAATGATTTTGATTTGGTGCGAGTTCTTGTTGAAACAAATGAAAATGAATCAAATGAGTTTTGTCAAGTGATTAAGGTGCCAGTAAGTCATAAGGAACAGGAACACCTGACTTTCTACTTACGGTTTTAAGTAGTATTTCTCACAGCTAATCATGGTTATCAATGAAACTAGTCAAGATACTGCCTAGACGATTTAAATTCCGATACAGAAAACATCTAGGCTCTTATAATTAGTTTTCACTCATACTTTTAATTTCCGCTGCTATCCTGGACCGATTTGATCGACCTCTGGTGACATATGGGCTCTTATTCGGATGCCTCGATATTACCTGGTT